AAAGGTCAGAAAGAGAGGGACCTCCCGTGGTCTGGCAAATCCCCTCGTTTGGGACTGGTCAGGCCCTGAGGGTGCCGGACCAGGGAGGTCCAACCTGTATTACTGAAATAGTGTAAAGCTTTCTGGCTACGTCTACAATGGCAAGATTTTGCGCAAATACTCTTTAACCCAAGAGTTTTTGCATTAGAGTATTTGCGCAAGAGAGCGTCTACACTGGCACGTGCTTTTGTGCAAGAGATGTGCTTTTGTGCAAAAGCATCCGTGCCAGTGTAGATGCTCTCTTATGCAAGAAAGCTCCGATGGCCATTTTAACCATCGGGCTTTCTTGCGCAAGAAATTCATGTTGCCTGTCTATGCTGGCCTCTAGTGCAAGAACACTTGTGCAAGAGGGCTTATTCCTGAGCGGGAGCATCATAATTCTTGCACAAGAAGCCCTGATTTCTTACATTAGAATGTCAGTGTTCTTGCGCAAGGACTCGTGGCCATTTTAGACAGGCAGCAAGTTTTTGTGCAAGACCGGCTGCTTTGGCGCAAAATCTTGCCAATGTAGACGTAGCCTATGATTTCTATGATATCCCCATTTAGGAAAGGTAACAAAATGAATTACCTAAAAGCACCATCAAGAGAAAACACAAACTAGACTCAACAGAACAAAAGTCACAATATTAGTTGGTTTATCCTTTATTCACAAGGCAAAATGTGACACACAGAGCCATGCATGTTTGTGATTTCCAGTAACTGCTGGGCATAGTCTCCTTTATTCAGAAGGTCATGCCAGTAATATGTTATGGAGACTCACAGAATTGCTTTCAGCCTTCCATTCCAGAACTACAATCTTCAAATACCAAGTACCTGTATTCAGTCATACATTTTCTTAGTGGTTTACTTACAGCCATAGGGGTTGGTACTTTTGAAGGTAATGTCAATTGGAAAATTCCACACAAGGGCTTGCTGTGCATCTCTGTTTTTAGAAGTGATCTGAGATATTCCCTCTTCCAAACCCTAAAACAAAAGCTTACATATTGTATAAATACAAGCGGCTGATATTCACACACACTATACAGAAAGAATGTATGCTTTTCATGTCTACAAAACTTGAATGCCTGCTTTCAGATAGACCAAGGGTGGACAATTAATTTCACAGGGGAGCCACTTAATGAATTTTGGTACGTGATCACGGGCTGGCTCCACGCCCAAAAGGGCAGAGCCTGGGGCGGGAGGGGCAGGGCTGGGGACTAGCCTCCCGCAGGATTGTCTAGGCCAGAGGCTTTGCATTAAAAACACAGCAAAGGACTTGCGGCTCCTGACTCTTCCACTACTTTGTTGCCTGGTAGCTGCATAAGGTTGCTGCAGCCATTGAAAGGGCTCACAGCTCTGTCCCTTGCTGGGGTAGTGCCGTGACCAGGAGCCATTTAAATAGGATCCTGCTGCCTGAGCCATCGCCTGGAAATTCGGTGGCACAGGGAGCACAATATAAACAGAAAGCAGCCAGATGCAGTCCACGGGCTGGATTCAAGTGTTAGGGAGGCTGCATCCAGCCCCCGGGGTGCATCTTGCCTTGTCCCGAGATAGACCATCAAGGTCAAGCTCCAGTCCCTGCCCCAAAGAGCTTACATTTTTAATATCCAAAGCTCCTTCCCTTCCATCTGTGCATACGATATTTTGCATGTGCAAATACAGGGTTGGGCATGCAAACTGATGCAAAATTAAATCCATTTAAAATCTGACCCTTATTCATACTGCTTTGCCAAGTAGCTCATCCTATCCACATTTATGAAAAGCATTGACTGGATTCATAATAACTAACAATAGAAAGTGCTTTGATTATGTAAACCGCAAAACAAGGGATAAGAGTAACTAAACCAATAACAACACACAGCACATACACAACATTCTAGTTTTTCGAAGTGCTGTACCAGATATTAGCACTTCCTCTGAAATGGGACAGAATAATTAATCTCACTTTCTAAATGAGGGAATATTAGAACTCAGAAAAGTGAAGTGATTTGTTTAGTAATCAGGGCAGAGATGATATTAGAATTCAGGATATAGTCCCAGTTCATTAGACCACCTCATCTTTCTAAGACAATGTAAAAGGAAAGACACTTGTAGCTCCCATCTCCATCTGAGGCTACATTTACACTGCAGAGTTTTTGCGCAAAAACTTGCGAAGCGTCCACACTACAAAGATGCCATGGACACTCTTGTGCAAAAGCACATCTCTTGTGCACAAGCACATGGCAGTGTGGACGCGCTCTTGCGCAAGAAATCTGCAGTGTAGACGTAGTCTTAGTGTGTGTATTTCCTAAGTTATTATTTAGCATTGGGATTAGAGTAACACTTAGGAGCTCCGGTCATGGATCAAGACCACTATTCCCTCTAATTTTTCCCACCCCTGAGCGGAATGAATTTTCTTATGGGCACCAACGGGTAGGTGATGCACACATCACCTTTGTACTGATGCGCATAATTTATGTGGCAGGAGTAGAGACAAGGGGTTCTGATTGCAGGAGGGGGCTCGGGGCTGGGGCAGAGTGAGTGTGCAAGCTCGGGCTAAGCGTGTGGGCTCTAGGATCTTGCGCAAGAAATCTGCAGTGTAGACGTAGTCTTAGTGTGTGTATTTCCTAAGTTATTATTTAGCATTGGGATTAGAGTAACACTTAGGAGCTCCGGTCATGGATCAAGACCACTATTCCCTCTAATTTTTCCCACCCCTGAGCGGAATGAATTTTCTTATGGGCACCAACGGGTAGGTGATGCACACATCACCTTTGTACTGATGCGCATAATTTATGTGGCAGGAGTAGAGACAAGGGGTTCTGATTGCAGGAGGGGGCTCGGGGCTGGGGCAGAGTGAGTGTGCAAGCTCGGGCTAAGCGTGTGGGCTCTAGGATGGGACTGAGGTTGAGGGGGTGGGACTGAGGTTGAGGGGGTGGGACTGAGGGTTGAGGTACAAGAGCTCTGGCATGGGGATGAGGGATTTGGGGTGTAGGAAGGGAGGGCTCCAAGTTTGGAAAGGGGCTCAGGGCTTGGATGCAAAAGGGGGTACAGGCTTAAATGATTACCTGGTAAGCATCATCCTTAACGGGTGATGCTTACCAGGTAACAGTTAACCAGTGCTCAAGAGCAGCCCCCTGCCCATGGCCTGCCACAGGCAGAGGGCTACTCCAGCCCCTGCAAAGGATGGAAGTAGCAGGGCTGAAGCAACCCCCACTTGGGGGGCAGGGGGCTGCTCTTACCCGCCTTTAGTTGGTTAACCGGTTACACACCGTGTTTAACTCGTTAACCGAAGCAATGGGATTTCCCATCCCTAATACAGGCCAAGAGCAGCCCCCTGCCCATGGCCTGCCACAGGCAGAGGGCTACTCCAGCCCCTGCAAAGGATGGAAGTAGCAGGGCTGAAGCAACCCCCACTTGGGGGGCAGGGGGCTGCTCTTACCCGCCTTTAGTTGGTTAACCGGTTACACACCGTGTTTAACTCGTTAACCGAAGCAATGGGATTTCCCATCCCTAATACAGGCTGCAGTGTGGGCGGTGGGGGGCTCTGGGGGTGCAGGAGGGTGCTCAGTGCTGGGGGCTTCCCCGAGTGGTTCCCTGCTGGGGATGGTGAGGGGGGCCCCCTTCCCTAGGCTGGCAGCGAGGGGCTCCCCTCCCCGCGCCTGAGCGGGGCTCCACGGGGACGTAACCCCCCCGGCCCAGGGACC